GCAAAAGAATAATAACAAATTAATATTAAAAAAGCATTCTATATTATTGTATTTTAATATCAGACGTGTAACAGCAGCAGCCAAAATCAATCACCGGATTTAAAATATGAACTTTGAAAACGATTTTTTTTTCTAATACATTTTACTAATTTCAGCTTAAGTGAATTAAAAGGGAACTTGAATTTCTCAGAGCATTTTCGGCTAAATTTGAGCGTAACCAAACTAGCGCAGATGCTGCGGTTGCACTATTTCGCAAAGTATTCCGATGCAGGATGCAGGATTCAGCATTGCAGAGTTCTAGTAGAGTCATCCCACAAGCTTTTCTCTGAAAACCTTTTCGGTTTATTTGTTTCTCCACGAGTAAGAACCCAAGGCGTTCCGCAGACTCGCGTTTTGTATTTGCGTATCTCACTTCGGCAAGGACAAAGACGGCATTTGACCTCGACTAGGGTTGAGACGATTTGGTAAATTGTCACAAAATAATTCATAAGAAAAATAAATTATAAGTACCTACTTAAAAAAAAAAATTATATTGTGAAAATAAGAAATATTGTTTGCGTTAAGTCGGTAAGCGAGTAGTGAAATTAATTTTAAAATTCCAAAAGGTCCCTAAAAACTCAGTGGTAACTCTGTCTTAGAACTTGCCACTAGAAATGCCATTTTAAGGCTTAAACTAAAGGTTCTGATAAAACAAGTCGATTGGTAAAAATAAGTTTGAAAAAATACCGGAGATATCAAGATGATTCGACAACTAACAGAAAACCATGAATTAGTAAGTGAAGTGTAATAATAAACAAGAAGTTAAACTCCACCTTCGAATTATAACAGGGATGACACTGTTTTTTATGGAAAACAGATTTCAATCGACAAATCGGTTTGGCTAGCAACGAGATTACTATGGACGAGCGCACGAACAAAGTTAAATCCTTTTTTATTGTCAACCCTACGTGTTTTCAGCTATGAGATTTGTTTGTGGGGACACCCACAGTCCCAGCAGCTTTGTTTGACTTGTGCCTCGTTGAAGCGCTATTTTTCCAACAGCTTTCTTACTCTTTTATTTTTTTTAAGTGGGTTTTTTCTTTTGTCAGTTTTGTTCTAAAGTGTATCGCTAAAGGCTTTGAGTGTTGTGGTAGAAAAAGTTTACAGTATCTAACGAGTTTGAGCCGCATGAGTAAGTTGCAGTTTAATGTGGAACGGATTTTGTCCAGAAACAGGCGAGCACATTAAACATTGCTTAGTCGGAGCTAGTTCTGAATAGTTTTGATTTAAATTTATATCAATTTTTATCTGGTAATTACAGTTTATCATTTTAATTAAATTAAATACTTTATTTAAGACCAGAGATCCATACAAATTTGTTATTTTTATTAATAAGTATAAGTAGAAAATAGTAGTTTAAATATTTTAATATATCAAAAGTAGCCTGTGAAATAAATATGATACATTAAAATTTTATTTAATGATTAGGTATTCTATGTCTATGGACACATACGACGAGTACGAAATAATGTAAAATATTACTTTTTACGTTTTTATCACGGTGTAACACCTAGATATAAAATTTATACCTAAATAATTTTTCTCCCCGTGCTTTCAACTTTCTCTCAAAGGCATTTTGAACGCGAGTTAATCCGAATGACAAACGAAATTCTTCCAACGGATTGAATATAATAATTTCATCTAAAATATATTGTTCCCAAGGTGACGCATAACTCCGAAAGATAAGTATCAGGATCCACTCTTGAGGGATTCGCTCTGAAGATTTACGATTCCTTATCCATGCAGTGGGTCCTAAAAATGTGCGATTTATGACTGACTGTCAGTAGGTACTAGTATAAGGTGAATTGAATTTATTATATGAACTAGTTTCAACTCGTAATTTCAACACAGCGTGCGCGTAATGTTTTTTTTATTTTATCCGTTTTATTACTTGATGTCTTTATGTCCCCTAAATCCTATGTACTCGGAAATGTTCTAAAATTGTATTAAGTGAATGTTATCGGTTTTATCATTTTATCTTTTTTATTTTGCTTATGTATTATTTTGCTTCCCGCAGCGGTATTTCCGAACCGATACGATTTTCAAACCTTCAAGAAACGAGCGCACTCCTTAAAAGGCCGGAAACGCACTTGTAACTGCTCTGGTGCCAACATAGGGATATAGGGACACGGATAACGACGGTGTTTTATACTATATACTTATTAGTGAAACAAATATAAAAAAGCTTATAACTTTAAAGTAACCAACTCCTTCGAATACTTTAAATATTCTCACCTCACCTCAATTCGAAGCATGTACGTGTACCAAACCATTAATATAATAGGTCTACTACTTAAATTAAAAAAATTGTCGTGCTGCAGTACTGGCCATTTCAAATTAAAATAGTTTTTGTTAGGCTAAGGCTAATTAATTTTGTTATAAAAACATGGGATTCTTTTTCCAAAAGTAGTAATTTGTTTATTGATTAGTGTTACATTTTCATCGCATTTCAAATCAAAAAACTCGTTTAAATTTTTTCATGCAAAACGGCAATTTCATAGGTAAAGACCTATTATTACTTGAAACAAATTTAAAGTAACCATCTCCTTCGAATACTTTGATTCTCACCTCACCTCAATTCGAAGCATGTACCGACCACATTTTCCATTCAACGCCATTCTTAGAAACCAGTCACGCAGTACTGACATTTTTCTTTCAACACGCTAGTAAAATATGCGTGTACTGTATGCTAGTACTGGCTCGAGTAAACCAACATTAGAAGGTACACTTACATAGCCGTGATGACTTCCTCGCATACTTGCATTCCATGAAGTGCTATGCTTTGTTTACGTTTTATTATTTTGCGAGTTTGCGCCTCACATGTTAATAAAGGGGAACGTACGAGCCAGAAATAATTAAAATAAAAACTGGAATGCGTGGCTTAAATGTCTGGGAATGAAAATGTTGTTTCCAAGTCAGGCCATGTCATCATACCGTGTGCTATGCGAGATGTTTTATTCGAAAGTTGAAAAATTGTTTTCGCTGCTTTTGTAACGGGAGTTTTAAGTCTTTGAGTTAGAGTTTTTTTTAATGATTACTTATTTTTCGTTTGTTTGTGTACAGTGATGGTCTACAATTTTAACAGATGTTGTAACTATAGGCCCTATTGAGCATCGCTCATTGCGGCTTTATTGGACCCAAAAAGGATATTATGATAATGAAAACGACATATTGATGAAAAAAACCGAATGAGTGTGTGTAATTTAGTTATAGTCAATATACTAAATTACACACACTCATTCGGTTTTTTTCATCAATATGTCGTTTTCGGTCTATAACTAAATTATCTTAAGAAGCTAGTAATAGATAAGTTGAAAAACACTAGACTTTCTGAAATTGAAAGTTAATTCCAAAATTCCTCTTAAAATGTATAAGATGATTCTTAAATTAAATTAATACAATGTTAAGTTGACGACACGTGTTGAAAAACCAATTTTCAATGACACATAACTATAACTCAACAACATTCTTGACGTGACGCTACCTTTGTTTCCCATTCTTGGCTCTTCAGTGATCTGTATAAGAGCTATATCAATCTCGGGCTGGTACTTCGAGATGCTCCCTATGGCGGCTCATTTCGAGTCGAGGGGTTGACGCGGCGAAGCGGCTAAAGCGCCGTCAACGGCGTCAAGAGGCACAGCCATTGACTACGCAACAATAACGACTAATAGCAGGCCAGTTTTTAACGATGCTTTTTTGAGCCAGAAAAATGTATGAAGGGTGCCTAAGTACGGATTTTTTTCGTGAAGCACCTATCTGAATTTTATAATCTTGATCGTTTTTGGATATCCGTGCTTGTGAAATGGCGGGAAATGTACAGGGGTTTCGGTCAATGGAATTGAGAAGGTTTAGGTGTTTCTGAGTGCCAGGGTTTTCAGCTGAAAACTCATCCGATATATATGTATTTGGAATTAAGGTAAAACATATTGTGAGGTAGAGAGTAATTAAATTATTGTTTTATTTAATTATTAATAATAATATATGTATACATTCTTTTTTGAAAATCGTTACTTACGTGAATTTTATTAGTTTCAAGTCATAACGATACTTTTATTATTTACTTTTATTATATCCCGGCTACTTTACGTACAGCTCTCTCTAATAGCTAATAACTATAATTACTAGCGAATAAGCTGAGAGAAGTAAATAAACTGAGAGAGTCAGTGTTTTTAACCGACTTCATCAATAAAACTGTCAGAAATCACATACTAAATATTTAAGAATTATTTTAAATCTTAAAAGAATGTAGATACCACGTCAAATGAACGTATAACACCTTCGGTTGTCAACAAAGATAAGAAAGTAATCAATGCTTAACGAACATAAAATGTAAATAATCTTAGTGCCAATAAACGAAATGGATTTATTATCATTATAAACATTTTATTTTCAATGCAATGACCGCAACGATTCTAAACTCAGTGACACATATGGATGACGTCATACTGTTATTATTCGAAGGGTTTGGCAAAAATGTACCGAAGTGTTAAAGAATTTATGTTCAATTTAAAACAATGAGTTCCTAAGCATAGTAGCTCTTTGTAGTGGAATTAAAACTACGTATTTTTTATATGGAAACTTCAGTATTAAGTATTAATTTCTGCAGGATATCTGATTCTATCCTGTATCAAATCAAAATATTTTGTAACATGTTTTATAATTATGGAATCTATTCAACCTAGCATCCATCTACTCAGGGGCTTAAGCACAATAGTGTATTGCAGTCCCGGCCTAGAAAGGAAGATGGACCGGCCTTCAGAAAGAATCTGACATTCCCTCTCATCTTGCATGAGACGAGGAGCTGATATATGATGATTTTCCTCGTCAAAAAAGAGCACGTACTCCATGTAGAAGAACAACAAACTTATAAATTGTATTATAATAAAGATAAGCCAATAAAATTCGTCCAATTGTCATTGCTTATCGTCCGATAACATGTACATATCAGCGTGGAGAAATTAGTTCGATAACATAAATTGTTTTGATCGCACGACTCGTGCGTCGGTTCCACAGTGATATTATCTATTAAGTGACGAAATAAATGTTATATTTATTTCAAAAATGGCCGCTAGTTATGTTAAGAAATGGTTAAGTGTCGAAGATAAAGTTTTTTTAGTTACTGGAGGCGCTGCGGGTGTTGGTGCTGGGATCGTCAGAGCTCTCTTACATGAAAATGCCAGGGTAAATATTAAGTGATGTAATTAATAGCATAGATATTAGATAGTGAATTAATTAGTGCTCCGTTTGTTATCGTGGTTGTGACTGCTAATGATGATCATTATATTTCAGTTTTGATCATGATTGGTTTTGTTTGGAATAATTGTGTTTGGTGTTAAATAGTGTTTTGTTTTCTGTTAAATGGCTCGTTACAAAATCAGTTTTGAGCAGATATAAGATAGATAAATATTTGAATTTAACTAGTGGTCGCATGCGGCTCCGCCTACGTGGATGCCGATTTTACACTTTTTCTTCGGACAGAATTTTTTTTTACGTAGGATCAAACCTTTTCTGACTTCCATGAATAATTCAAGACCAAAATTAGCCAAATCGGTTAAGGCATTGTCTTATGACATTACAAGAAAAGTGGCATTGATTTTTGCATATAAATTGGTTTTCTATTTAACGCAAACATAATTATTATGACTTCAAAAGTCAATATAAACCTTACAAACAAGAACGAGATTCTGCCAGAGGCTTCGTCAGTTGTGTGAAGGAAAAAAGTAGCCTCAGCACATAGGCTTTTTTCAGAATATAGGTAATCTATCTCTGTGCCAAATTTAATTTAGATCCTTTCAAAAATCTACGCATAGTTACAAATATCTGCCTTTATAATATTAGTAGGATTGCTTAAAATAACTTTATCTACTATAAATAGCGTGTTTGAATAAATATTAAAATAATTTATTGTTATTATGTTTTGTACTCTCAAAATATTTAATCTAGAAATTAAAAATGAATCTCACTTATTCCCCACACTAAAGCCAAAGTTTAATCATTTATTTCGAGATTGAACCTCTCTCCCATCTAGTCCAACGTTTTTACATTAGTTTATCAAACTCCAAGCGAACGCCGGCGTTAGTTTACGTTGTTCTTCTATTGTGCCTCGAATAATACGATAGAATGGTTAATCCGAATAGCTATATAGTCATTAGTAGTACTAGGAAGTGTTAACTGATGCTATGAATTCCTAATATAATGTTTGTTATTCAACAATCTATTGAAACAATAGAAATTATCTGTAAACAGAGTAGTGTGTCGTCAAACATTACTTCGTACTCTCAAGGCTCTTTACATGATACAATTTTCTAAAATATAATAATTGAATTCAATTTATTACTAAACTATTTAACGGCTTACTCACGCAACTGTTTTACAAGGAACGCGAGTGCTTTTACAGCTAAATCTATTTAACGCCCCCGAAAGCCTCCATATACTTACTTGATTTAAAATCGTAATAAAAAAATAGGTGGAGCCTTTCCGAGATTCAAATTACATATTGCAGGTATAAAGAATTTATCGATAAAAAAATAATATGAATAACTATTACGAATAATTATGTCTCTTAAAAGTTGCAAGAAGGTTTTTTTTTTAAAATTAAGACTCCTTTACATGATGTCTTGCGTATTGTTTAGACCCCAAGCAAGTCAATAATTGCTTTAATTAATGGTAGATATGCAATAAGTAAGAAACTTGCATCATATTAAAAATATTACTGACACAATGTATAAACCAACTGCAGAAATTGGAGATACGGCTACTTTTTATGCTGAAAAAGACGGAAGAAAAGGAAAGATAGATAGAGAGCGAGAGAGAGAGAGAGTCAACTAGAAGAAAACTTAATAAAATTTAGGTGGATAAAAAAACGTCACTTAATATCATGCCACGTATAAAGCGCATAGTAACCACAGCATCATCAACTTTGTTTCACAAACATTAAAGTTGTTTTTTAAATGAAAATATTTCGGTTCCTTGAGCTGACATTGACTCTTAACTCACTGTTGTTGTTGAAGACACACCCCACATGACGGAAACAATATCGTTGATAAGGAGAGAGATAGCATTATTGACATCTGATATGGAGGCTAAACAATTTGATAAGTTTTTTAAATAATAATTTCATCATACTAAGTTCATTGGACCAATAAATACAGTTACGTTACACGTCACTTGTTAATAAAAGGCTTAAATTGGTAATTAAATTAATTATTAAGTTAACAATTGGGTGGTATCCTAGTTCAAAAATAATTTATTTTGACTTTTTAATAAAATTATTTATTAAAAATTAGCTTTTGCCTCGACTCGATTTTGTTCGCGTGAAAGTGACTTCCTGCAGATTTTTGGTATAAAAAGTATCCTATGTCCTATCTATTGCTACCTATGCTATTTATCTTTATATATAAAAATGGATTGCAAAATGTGTTGGTAAGCGCATAACTCAAAAACGCCGGACTAATTTTACTAATTTTTTTTTGTTGTGTTTGTTATTGTCAGAAGAAAGTTCTTATCAAAGAAAATATTAGAAAAGTAGAGGGGAAGATTTGGAAAAAGTGACCCTTTGATAGCGAGCGATAAAAAAACCAAACCGCGACTTTTGGCAGCTAAACCGCAACTAATAGAAACACAGAAACAAATTCAAAACGAGAACTAAAATTTCAAACGTAATACTAAAAACATTCGACTAACAAAACTTTGCCAGTTCTGTTTGAAAACACATGAGTTACAAACTGCAAAATTATAATTTAATTAACTTATATTAAACTATTTCAATGTAACGATAGTGTTATGAGATTCACCATTTTGTTTTACCGTGTTTTTGGAATAATAAGGGTGAAGATATATGTGTATGCGATACTTTTTCTTTGTGGGTGAAAAGCAGTTGAAAAATTTTGTCTTCAAAAAAATTATCTTACTAATATTATAAATGCGAAAGTTACGATGTTTGAATGTTTCTTACTTTATCACGCCAAAACGGCAGAACGGATCTGGATGAAATTTGGTACAGGCATAGGCTACACTCCGGAATAGGACATGGATACTTTTTATCAACATACCACGCGGGCGAAGTCGCCAGCAGAAGATATCAATGTTATATTCGTGGTCATTCGAAACACAATAAAAGAACAACAGGTTCGCTAACGCTAGCGTTCGCTTGGTGTATAATAATATTATTGTTCTAAACCACCTGTAAAAACTCACAAACACCGAAAATATGGAAAACTATAATTTCCTTTAATTATTTTGCAGCACGTTGCCTTCCTCGACGTTGCAGACAGAGAAGGATCAGCTCTCGAATCTGAGCTGATAACGAAATACGGAGCTTTGAAAGCCAAGTTCATAAAATGTGACATCGCTGATGATGGGCAGCTTGCAGCCGCTTATAGGCAGGTCCTGGACAAGTATCGAAGACTGGACGGAGTCATAAACAATGCTGCGGTACTGACTGTAGACGAAAGAAATATAAAGAGGATGGTTGATGTTAATTTTGTAAGTATTCTGAGACATATTTTAGTAGTAGGTGTGTATTGTACTTTTGTATGTATACTTATGTCGTTGCTTTTTAAAATGACACCACCCATTGCACTGTCTCTGTATCATCCCAAGGTAGATTGTAAGAGTATGCTTAAGAATTTAGGTAAGTCCGCCTATGTATTAAATTGTGACTATGCTGGGCATAATATAATTATGTATTTAATACATTATGAACATCATAATGTATTAATAATTATAAGCATGTATGTTGAAGTCTAAGCAGCCATTTAGTACTTTAAATCATACAAAAAAAAACGCAATGTCGTATGACTCGTTTGTTATTTTTTTTAATCTCTGACGAAAGTGTAAATTTACTTCAACTTAAAACTGTCTTGTATTTTTAATAGTAAAATGTTTTGTTAAACTACGTTAAACATTCTTAACGGAGTATTCAAAATATTGAACACTACTAAACGCAAACCCACACTACTGCGGTTTCCGTAAACGAACAGAACAACCCCACAGCCGATATTAATTTCTTGACTTATGAGTTCTCGCATGAGTAAAACTGAATTATTAGCTTTTGAATCGATTAAATACGGAATGCTTTTTATGTAGTATCTTAGTGGAAACGCAATATTTTTTATGGAATGGGCTCTAGATAATGGGCATAATGCGGATTACCTGATGGAAACTAATGGGCAATGTCCATGTCCATGGACACTCTTAACAACAAATGAGTTTTTTTTTTGTGAGGGGAAAGTCATAAAATGACTTCTCCCGGCCAGGGCCGGGCGGGAGGGAGTGTCAGACTCTTACTGACTAAAAACCCCCTGTTCCTTCTCCTGCTCTGGGCCGAGGTCGCGGTGCCTCATTGCGCTTACCCCGCAACCCCGGCTGAACATCAGCCCAACACCAAAGGAGTTGCGAGTGCGTTGCCGGCCTTTTGTGGATTATTAGGGAGTTTAAGGATAGAGCCTCCGGTAACCTCACTTATGCTGCAAAACACAACGTGTGTTTTGTGTCCCGCTGGTTTTCTGTGATAAGTACCGTGGTATCATTCCGGTTGAGCCGACCCATTCGTGCCTAAACATGGCTCTTCTGTCCAAAAAGGTTTTAGTTCGTTTGATATATTTACAATTTTTGAGCTATACCTATTGGTTTTTGTGCTGGACTGTTCAGTTGTCACTCTTAGGTAATGTTCAAATAAGCGCCATATTGTTAGTTTGAGGACCTTAAATTTCAAACTTTGCAATAAGAGTTTTGGTAGTTGATTGAAAGTAAAAGTATAGGACTTATTTTTGTTTGTAATAGCTGAACCAACCTGAAATACCTATGATTGTTATGCACGCTTGAAATACGCCATGTCTCGAATTGGATAGCTTTTGATAAAGAAATTGTAAAAATGGGATAATGCGGAAAGACAATTTTAGTAATCAAACAAAAACAAAGAACAGATAATAAAGAAAAAAAAGTCTTGAATTATTTTTTGTTAACAAAATTACACTGTGGGCTACATTTTAGCTGTGAGGCGGAAATTGGTTGAAGCAAATTGATTTTACAACATAAACATAACAAAGAAAGTAAACAATCAGAGTAATCTAATTTATTAGAGCAGCTAAGCAATTTGTTTTAAATCAAAATTAATTTACCGTTTGTATTGTAATGTTATTGTGTTTTTCTTTGTTAAAATCACTATTTGTAATACAAACTAAGAAAAATGTTAAAAGTATTTCACTAAATTAAAATATAATTTTATTATATGTGCGTATCTTCTTCCATTCTCTCGTATCAGAAGTCATTTTATTACCAACTCCTTTCTTTTTCACCTCATAAAATACTGATGACAAAAACAGCGTTGTGTTTAGCCGTGTGAATAACCCGGTAACCTCACCGGAGGCTCAATACAAGAAGTATTTCCTCCAGCAAACTCTTGACGATTCCTAAATTGCCTAAAACCTAATGCCCAAAAGGCTGGCAACGCACTCGGTAATTCCTTCGGTGTTGCGAGTGTCCAAGGGCTGAACGCTTACCATCAGGCAATCCGTTTTATCGTCTGCAGTACCTATCACATAAAAAAATCTTACCGCCTACTACTTAACGTGGTCATAATAATAAAATGTCTTCCATTTCCGACCTCTTTTTTCTTCCACACTCCTTTACACAAACTGCTCTCTTATAAACCGAGAAATTAGGAAACATGAAATAAATCTTAATCATCCAATATTATTAAGTGCAATAAATAACTTTACACCTTATCTTATAGACTGCAACAGTCAGCAGTACAATGAAGGCGCTGGAAATTATGGGGGTCAATAAAGGAGGCGTTGGGGGCACCATCATCAATATTTCATCCCTGCTAGCACTCAACCTTGGCAGTCACCTTCCAGTCTACGCCGCAACTAAAACCGCTGTTCTGCAGTTCAGTATTGCTATGGGAGTAAGTACTATTTCGAAATATGATTCTAATATCATTGTTCCTGACATTTTACTGTCTAGTATTAGATACTAAATTCCTCCACTATTCAATGGATGTTATTACACATAATATAAAACCTCTTCTTCAATCACTTTATCTCTTTGAAATAAATCGCATCAAAATCCATTGCTTAGTCTTAAAGCTTTAAGCATACATAGCATGAAGGAAATTCCTGCATGTTACATAGGGATGTAGGGACAGAGAAACTGACGTGATTTGTACTATGTAATGATTAGATGGAAAATCTATTAAAGTGGTATCTACATATATAGCATTGAGTCGAAGGCAGTCTCTTTACGTTATGGATAGAGAGGTGGCTGGTACATCAGCTGCCTCGTGTGTCGATTCCCACACGTGATAAATTGTGTTATTCCCAAATCGTTGTTCCGGATTGTAGTGTGAAATTGTACGTTTGAAAACGCACCTATGACACAGAAGAAAATCTTAAAGTGGGTTAAACAGATGGGGTTTTTTTGTGAGGGGAAAATCGTCAAATGACTTCTCCCGGAGGGCGTGTCAGACTCTTACTGACTAAAAACCCCCCTGTTCCTTCTGCTGCTCTGGGCCGAGGTCGCGGTGCCTCATTTCGCTTACCCAGCAACCCCGACTGGGGTTAACCATATGGATGACCCGTCGAATACTTTTACTTGATTATCGATGGACATAAATACGCTGGTATAATAAATACGAAGGCTATTCTCAATAAATAAATACCATAATATTTAACTTCACCAAAATTCTATCTTGTCCGATTGGTGTCGTGTTCGTTGTATGATTGGTGATAGGTTCACCGTAGTGTCAACCATTAATATTTTTTATAAAGAAAAGTTTAGTAGTTAGTACAAACTTAAGTGAAAGATTAAGGTTAATTAAAATTATATCTTTATCTTTTTCAAAGAAGATTTAAAAGGTCACGGAAGAAAAGAACATAATGCTGACCTCTGGTATTTGTTAAATTCTTAATCTAAAGAGGATTACGTCAGCTGTTTTGTTGCTCAAAGTAAGAGTACCGGCCACAAAGTTTTCTTAGCTTTTTTTTTAATTTAAAATCTCTACATCGATGGATAAGTGGATATAGATGAAACTGGCCAGAATTTCATCTTTAAGTTCAGCTCCTCAGCTGTGATTTTGATTAAAACTAATAATATTAATCCTAGAAATATATCCAGGTGTATAAATTGTGAAAAAAATATTTGAATAAAAAATTAAATAATGTAATATCATGACAAAAATATAGTAAAAGAGCTTTTTTTCTAACCTAATTTAACTTTTATTCCACAGGCGGAGGAAGCATATTCAGAGAGCAAAGTACGAGTCATGACAGTCTGCCTCGGACCGACAGACACGGCCATTTTGAACAGGAGCAACTTGGACAACTTCGACAAAGATCAGCCAATCGCGTCCCGAGTTGCCGTCAGACAGAAGTAAGGACAATTAATTTGCGTTCATACTATGATTTCTAATTGTAATGCTAGTAAATTTGGCAGACATGGATATCGTAAATATATCAGTTAAAATTTAAGTAAGTGTGAAGACGATATCCATGTCTATCGATTTATCAGTGATCTACTAGTCTCAGGCCTCACACAGATTCGTAATCATGATACGAGCATAGTGGAGTATTTATAGCTACCTTAATGTTTAAAAGATAGCCCACCATAAGATTTTGTGAACTTCTTAAAATTTATCCAGAACTAGTTGACCCGGCAAACTTCGTCCCGCCTCAAATACAACGCAATTAATATTTTTTGAGACATATTGGCTGGCCTATTAATAGTAAACCTTCCTTATATATCCAGGAATATTGCAAGTCCACGGTCAGCCATATCAGTCCAGCTTTTCTCAGTTTTAGCGAGAGTAACTTTTTATTATAGAATAAATTTTTATATATAAGATAGTTATAGTTATTAAAACGTGAGAAAGAAGATTAAAAGTCACAGTGCTTACAACAGAAGCATCGCGTGTTGCATACACTATATAGCAAAATGCTTCTCTTACACATGTGACCTTATTTGCGCGTTCCAGATGAAGTTTGCCTGACGAAGATAGTTTGGCAGCGACAACTTTCATACTGAAATTGAACAGTAAAAGTTGCGCTTGGAGAAAACGTGCAATTTTTTTAGATAAGTTACAATATCGAGGTTTCATCGTAGACCTTTTTAGTTCTGTTGAAGTTTGTAGGCCAATTAGCAATTTTTATGACACTGTTTGATTTTTTATAGGATAGGTCAGCTAACAAGCAGATTTGTCATCTTGGTAAGCAATGGTTGCCTCCCATAAACATCTACTACATTAGAGGAGTTATGAATGCTTTTGAAATTGAGCCGGACTTTTAGAGGTTAGGAATGAAGGAGGAGGAATTGTGGGGTCTTAAATTTTATTGATAGTTTAGAGGAATAATACGACGGTCAATGTATGCATTTTACATTGTGCACAAATATTTGTGCACCTAATCATAATCCATTAGAATCAAAGCTTTTAACGTGATATTAATTTATTTAAACTTAGAGATGTTCTTAAGCCGACCATGAAGAATGAAGAATTACTTATGATGACAGTTAGCTATTCTATTTTTGAATTTCAAATTTAAATCTTATTCCGAATCTAATATTTTTTTTATAAAATACTACTATTTGAAAAGGCATACAATTATTTATTGAATAGGTAATAGCCTAAAAAGATATTCCAATAATAGTAATAGTGAAAGACGAAGGCCTCGGGTTATCGGCAAACATTTTCTACATTTATATTAAACTGCGGTTTTTGGTTCAGTTCGCTGTCCACAAAAACTTTTGCTTAAGTTTAATTTTAAATCATTTGTATTGGAAATTTTAAGTTCAAAGAACTTTCTTACAGTCTCAGCGAATCCTTTGACAGTTTAAATTAATAATAAATGAAATAAAGCAAAGTTTGTGGATACGAAAGTTATTTATATTTGATTGAGAAAACAAATGTTTTTAACACATATAATGCAACATTCGCATTATGTTTGAGGTTAGCCTGTGACCTAAAAACAACAACAATATGTAAGCTTTCCCAATATGAGATTTGAACTTGTGATTGCTTAGCCACTTGACCAACGAGTAGTAATAGGTTCCAATCCAAGAATCTTCTAGTGGTGAATTACAAAAAACCTAATTATAGGCTACATTAATTTCAATGAACCTTATCTTTTTTCTAGGGTTGAATCAGCTGTTTCAGGAATTTTGAAAGTCTTAGAAGAAGGAAAATCCGGTTCTACGTGGATTGTGAAAAACGACCAGATGGCTTACGACTGCACAGAAACATTAAATCAGGCATTTGCAGTCTTATCTGATACGTAAATTCTTTCGAATTTAAGGCTTATTGTTAAACGATAAGATTAAAAGTTGATTTAAGTTATTGATATAAGTCATGTCGCCATTTTGATTCATTTGAATTTATATCTTACGTCATATTTATATTTAATGGATGTCTTAAAATCGATTAAATTTATTGAGTAAATGATTTATATTCTTTATTTTTTATTTATATATTATTAAACTAAGATTTTTAATTTATTTAATAAAAATAACACCTTAATTAATCTGACTGGTGTATTTATTTTCCTAGGGGCCTTATATTTATGTACGTCTAGGTATTACAAAAATAATGCACATTTTACACACTCTTAAAAAAAGAACAGCTTATTTATTATGTTTTCGGCTTACTCACGTAATAATTTGACGAGATACTCGACTAGTTTCAAGCCATGTTAGAGGCCCATATTCGTCGCGCTGCTACTCCAGTAGCAGCGCGACGGTCGCCGAGTCGCGTGTCGCGGAATGCTGCTCATGAATATGGGCCTCTAACATGGCTTGAAACTAGTCGAGTATCTCGTCAAATTATTACGTGAGTAATCCGAAAACATAATAAATAATTTAGAATGTCTCACGAAAGTTATAATAAAAAAAGAACAGCTTTATGAAAATTCAAACCTCATTCTTAAAATCGTACATTCGTAAAACATATACGACATAAAAACAAAGCCACGTTTATCGAGGTTGGAAATGTAAAATAATATTTTTTTACCGATTTTTCTGCGTTCATTCGCGTGAACACTGAGCGATCTCTTTCATCAATACAATACACGCTGTACCTCTGGATAACCACACTGTTCTACTAAACTCATTTTTTTTATTTCGACCTGTCTTTGTGTTTTTTTTTTCATTTTTCGTTATTTGTATGTTGATAACCTATGTTTGGAATGTATGTGGATTTATGTAGGAATAATACAAATGTTGTGGTGGCTTGGAGGTTAAGGCACCCTCTTCTCCTCTAGACTGTTTTTCCTGGGTAATATGTACTTCCTAAGTTTATTTAAACACTATTGACAAACACGTAAATTATTATGAGGAAAACTGGACTTATAATTTCTAATTATGAGTTTGAAACCGCCAATGTCTCTTCAGCAAGCTTGGTTATAAATACTCAAACCTTCTCCGTATGATATGCTTATGATGATAATGATGACGAAGTAGGTACATATTTGTGTTAAAGAGTACATGTCTCTCTTAATCTTTATTATTTTGTAAAATCTTAGATGAGTTTCGTTTCTACTCGTCATATACAAACGGGCCTAATTTTGTTGATTTACGATAGCTTACATTGTAAAGTAAAGTGTATCAAAGACTTCTCCTGGCCTAGCAAAAGGCGTAGTTATTAGTTAGTAAGACTCTAACACTCCCTCTCTCCTCAGCCTGGGCGAGAGAAGTCATTTCATGACTTTTTCACCTCAAAAAAGAAAAAGTCCTGACCTGGAGAAGGAGACATCACGGGGAAGTTGTCCGTCAGAGTAAAAAAGGGTTCTCGTCAAAACAAGATACATAAATAAATAGGAAGTAATATTGTTTATACAAAGGAGGTAGAATACCTGTGTAGCTAAAAAAGTACAATTACTTCCTTGTAAATATGTCTATGCACTTGACATATACATAGGTACTCACTACGTTCATATGACTCTGCAAATACACCGTCGTCAAGCAACTGCCAATATAACTATGCACTACAAGTATTGCCTAACTATCTCACTCTGGAATCAATATCCCTGGAATCTAAATCCTCTGGATTTGGGACGAACAAGAAACGCAATCATGGGGCTAATTTACTATGTGTTCGTACCAGACAGTTGAAACTTGGCAGAGTTAGCAGTCAAAAGCGGGCTGTGTCACTGCATTCGCTTCGTGGAGATTTGGCTAATTTATGCTTCGGATTTACCGCTAATCCACACTTAAGTATTCCTGCTTTATTACAGCTACGTAGCCCTACTGAACAACATGAATAATTTTAAGAAAAAGTTTCTCGAAGATGGATTTTTTTAAAACTTTACCAAGCGTACAATCTTCGCAAATGATACAGACTCGTCGTTCGAAGTTCTCGTTCGGTTCCGAATTTACTTTCGCAAGTTCACTTAGTTCAAAGTTTGTATGTCTAAATGTTACGATTTTAGTCCACAATCATATTTACTTGTTTCCTTTGTTTGTATTCAGAGAACGGAGGTAATATAGAATTGTCTGGATAACTTTGCACGAGCTGGAAGTTACAACAACGTTTGAAATTGGATTCATGCACCATGCTTGCTACACTGGGAAATCTCGCGCTAGTTGCCCGTTATGCGAAAAATGTTCGCAATAAATATTCCATGTTGGATTATGTAGATTCACATGAGCTGTGTCACATGCCACGGAGTTAAGGTGAAAATGTTTAGAATTTTCACGAGCACAGCTTAGGTTAGTTGTGGTAACTTGACCTTGAAATATTATTTGTATGAAAATTACAATGAACTTGAACTTTGATAGAATATTAGTAACAGAGTTTAAAAATGTAATATAACGTGAAAAAAAACATAACAGTACAAGAAAAATTAAATTCATTCCACAACAAAAACAAAACAATATAAACACAGAAACAAAACTACAAGATACGATAACCATTCAATTAAACATGTTACAATACCTTAACAGTCACAAGTGAGGCGGAATCAATTTATAACTAAGCCGCTGGTATCTGCTGACGTCCATTAGAACTGTCTCTTCTAGTATCCGGGACCCGTAATTATTAATTCAGTGGCGTTAAGTCGAAGCACATCAAATCGGCACGGATCGTGTCTGAATGTTTGCCAAATCCGAGCCCCGCAATGTTTAACTATTCACTGGTATGTTTCAACGGGTCCGAATTAGAGCACTGATTCTGCATAAACGTGAGCTGCTTTTTGTTCGGTATTCTTAACAATTCATTTAATTAGTTTATTGGTTGACGTTTTTGCAGATGGTGATTTAGATTTACTGATTGTAGTGATTCCAACTCGGCCTTACAGAGATTTTGTCGTATGATTGAGAAGGTACCTTAAATAAGTAAAAAAAACTCACTGAGATACCTAAACGACAATGGATTGGCAACGTATTTGCAACTCAATTGGGTTAAACTTATTACTGTTTGGTATCAGGTAATCCGCTCGATTGCCATTATATAAAAAGCCTACCGACATGGAAATCAGTGCGTTGTCAGTTTTGTTCGCTTTAAACATATCTTATTTCCATATAATTACTAGCTAATCTACCGGCTTAAGGCAGTTTGTTTTCATTTTTACGAAATGAACGATTCAAAGCCGCACAACGAAACTGTGTACATAAAAAATAATTTAAGAGAAAAAATATAATAGGCAACGTAATAAACTGTAATCTCCAATCTTTTACTCGTAACACCGAAAGCTCAACGACTTTTTAATTTATTTTTGATATCGAATTACAAATCACGTATAGCCAAAAACTCTTTGTGGCCCCAAAAAATAAAATTAAACATTCAATTTGCGCTCTCAACTTGGAGAACAGTTTACATCTTAAAAATGAATATGTAAAATTAGAGCTACATTGATATTCGATCCCAGGGATGAAACTCCCATTTTAGCGGGCGACGGTCCCGAAAATTTTGTAAAATTATGTCTTGGGACTTTGTACCGCATATTGTAATCTGTCATTTTTCATGTACTATAATGGATAAAAGGTAGATTAAGGAAACAAATTTGCTACTATAATAAAAAAATTAAGATGTGATAAATAATATATAATAGATAAAACGTAGAAACTTGACTTTATATAGTTCTTCCCATTTCGTTCAAAAAACTATCGCACATGAAAGTCCGGTTTTCATTGGGCCAACCTATAGAAGAAGTTGATCCCATCAGCATAATTTGAAATGTCCTTTTCTTGCTAATATCACCCTTAAATTGGCAACTGATAAAAATATAAAACATGGTTAGAGAATATTCCTAAAAGATGGTTTCCCCTTGCTTACTCCAACAAGGACAGGGTACTTAAGAGCCTATACAAAGTTTCTCCTTGCGAAGCGTTCGCCAATCACATGAAACTTTTCACTGATCTCAAAGAGGGAGGAAAAAAACGTGTAATGAGGGACTCTTCAAACCCGGTTTTTTTTTTGTTTTTCATCTCAAATTATTTCGCAAAGAGTTGAATTACTTTGAAATAGGAGATCACGCCATTTCTTTGTTATTTTTTACGACGAAATACGTGCCTTGTTTTGTTTCCTTTCTTTTTTTTTAATAATTGCAGGGTCCTTATTACGGTTTACGACTTGACACTTTTGATTTGACAAAAATAATTTTCCTTTGGTAAAATTCCCGTTCTCTCAGACTGGGTTGAAAGAATGTGGAATCTGGTTACAAGAAGATCTACTTCTAAATATTGCATTCGTAGTAAACTGGGGCGTGTTTCTAGATACAGATTAAATGTAATAAAATACAATGTCCAATGAGTTGGCCCTTCGCCTGTTTGCATTCTAAAACTAGGCACGAATCCAAGAGTTTAAAACAATTTGTTTCTGTTGAAACTTCTACTTTTAATCTTAGTAGTGTAAGGGTTTTTGTTTTGTGTAGAATTGATTTCTTTTATCATAAGTGATGGTCACAATAACTATTATCAAGTACGAGTATGTCTCTGGCTTTGCCTTGGCTGGTTCCACAACTATGGTCAAATTTTGACGAAATGCGGAGTTGGATGCTTTGCCAGATATGCTATGGAATTATATCATTATCTTTTATTTTAATCTGCCATATACTTACTGCGTGATATAGTGTAGAATAAAATAGTATAATTACATATCTTTATATATAAAAATGGATCGCAAAATGTTGTGAATGTGAATGATCGTTGGTAAGCGCATAACTCAACAACGCCTTGACCAATATTGCTAATTCTTTTTTGTGTTTGTTATTGTCAGGAGAAGGTTCTTATCGAAGAAAATATTAGAGAGGGGAAGATTAGGAAAAATTGAGCCTTTGTTACTCGCCGCTAGTTTTCTAATAAAATTCAAAATATGTTTG